CAGAAGGCGCTTAGTGATCATAACTTAAGAGCGTATAGGAGCGTGATAAGTCAAACAAATGAAAATGAAAGTCACGAGGATGGCTCAGGAGACGAAATTAAAGGATACGTATGTCAAAATTGTAAAAGGGCCGAACAGCCTCTATATAGTGACAGGAGACTGCGAACAAAATAGACTCCAACATCCTGGCCCTCATATATGTGATATAATAAAAAGCCTACTAATCAGAAAACATAAGCCAACAAAGAATTCATCTATAAACTGTCAAAATGTTTATAAAATGAGTAAGCAAATAGATATCTTCATTCTTTGTATCAAGGGAGCAGTAACAAAACACATAAAACGTTCACTATATTCAAAAGGTATGGTGTTTCGAGACGGCCAGAAGATTATGGATAAAAAATTAGTCAACGTAAGTCACTAAGAGTGAAGTATTGATAGTTTAATGTTATAGAGCTCAATCAGTGGGCCTCGCCAGGTCACTGAAGTCCACTTAGGCTTATCTTCCTAAAGATCTCCACTCTAAATGAGGTATTTTTGGAGTCAAGGCTAAAGAAAATGGAATGAAATAGTGAGTATGACGCGTTTCATTTTGTAAATTCACGAACAATTCTCAAAATAGTCGACCAATACAAACATCATTGATCGTAATAGGAAATAAATGTTTGCCTAACCGACAATTATAACGTAAATCTGATATGGAAGAGGCGTAAGTCAAATCAATCCACTAATCCCCTGGAAATTTGAGCGAGATGTCGCCGCCTAACTCAACAATCTAACCCCGTATCCCAATTGAGGATAAAAATTGTTAGAGGAAGCAGATAAGAAAAACTTTTGGGAGTCAATGATAAATGAAATTCAATAACATTAAGGCCTGATGTTGAAGTAGCTGTCAGTTCATTTAAAGAGACGGGTGGAATGGATTCGTAAGCAGGCTTCACTATGTCCTGGAGCTAAGATTGTAGATTTATGCGAATAGGTCATCGACGCAGGGCCATTCGACCCAAATGAATCCTTGATATGCTTTCGTCCATCATGTGACGGAACTAGCCATAGCAAGACACCACGCTTAACGACAACTCACCAAAATACGAAAACAAAAAATATAGCCGACTGCAAGCCTAACTACTTATTATAATCTAACTGGTTAGGCATTAGACGAAGAATCTCTTGGTTTGATTGGACATTCTAAGCTATGCCTGAATGTTTGCTGAAAAGTGAAGTGGTTGTGAATGACAAGTAAAATGGTTGAGGATGGAGCGTGAAGCAGATACAGTTTAAATCTAACAGCTGGATTCTCCTCTAAACCCTTTTTTTAGACTCTCAAATGGCATCACAGGTAATTGTTTTCCATTGCATGGTTGCTGCGTGAATGCATTACTATTGAAATACGTGAGATATTAGAATCAAAACAAGATTCGAGCCTAATCAAACCTCCTTTTGTTTGATGGCATTTCTCGTTCCTCTCTCCACTCTGTTTCTAATCCCATCCAACAGCCATAAGTAGTTACCACTTAATTTCTTGCACTCATTCCTTCAATTCAAGGTGCTAGCTGTTGTTGATTTCGATCGTTCCCCAAACCTTTCGATTACTAATATAGTCCCCATATAGTTATATCTATCTGGTGTCCTGTGCGAACCGTGTGTTCGGTCAACTCGGGTTTTTGTACCCACAAATCCCAGCAAGCCGTTTTGTGTTAAGATAATCTCTTATGTATGGGCCTGCAAGCCTTTATCATATAACGTTTCCGCCTGCTCACAAAATAATGTAATATCCCGATCTAAAGAGAGGGTCAGAATATTCACCAAAAATAAAAATGTTATTTTCTCTATAAATGCTCCTTATATCCAACCTCCTGAGTAATTCGTCTATCTTCTCCAAGAGGTTATATGATGACAACATAAGGAATCTGGTAGTGGTTTAATGTTTTCTCTAGTGCCATATATGTTTTCCTTCTTTCCTATTTGACTATATTCTCAATTAAAATCCATATCAATCGTTAACTAAATCAGGGAGCACGAGAAATAAAAGTAGAGATTTGGTTATAAATTTTGATGTTAAGTCTATGTATATTAAAATTCCTACAGACAATACCGCATAAGCTCTATAATCAACACCAGTAGCTATTAGAGAATAGGAAGTCAGGTAAAGTGTCGATGATACTAACCAATTTAGCGACTCATTGTAAATATGCTACCTTTAATGGAAAACTGCGAAGAAACACGAGGTTTGGCTAAGTGATCGGGCTTGTCACCAAAGTCAGCATGGAAAATAAACCTGGAGAATTTAAATCGAAGATGGCTTTTTGCATGGTCGCAGGCTTTATTCGTTGTATAGAAGTTGTTTTACCTTGTTTTCACAACTTGGTCATATTGGTAGGAAGACTTAGAGGAACGCAACTAGTCCGGAATACATTGTATCCATGATAATTTCCAAAGTCGGACTGTAGACGTTGAAGTCATAGATTTTGTATTAGGGATAGAAACAGGATAGACGCGACAGTGACTGGAGCTAGTTGGCTGAGAGTAAGTTTTGCCAGAGACGTGGTCCATTTAGCAAAGGCATGACCATGAGACTTAGCCTCGAATTAATCACAGACTCAGGAGGGGTAATAAAGCCTAGAGTAGCACACATGGGGTGGCAGGGGTCGAGTGAAATATTGAACCAGGGAGATAGCAGATTGATTCTAAATGGCAAGAAGACTCTGATAAGACGTAGGGAAAGACTGCGTAACAATATGGTGGACTGATCAACATTCCCAGGACAAGGGTGAAAAGGGGTGAGAGCGCCAGTGTGGAGTGTGGAGGGTTCTCATGAATGCCGCTGAAAAGGGCACATCACACTACATATAAATAAGAAAGGTAAAAAGTGTAATAATGAAGGCGTGATACGAGGATATAGGAAATTTGAATAGCCCAGGGCAGGAGAGATAGAACGGTTTAGCAAACGTTTGGTAAAATGATCGATTTCCCTTTTATCTTTGACGAGTTGTAGTATAGTGCTAAGAATGACTTAACTCACTGTCGATGCCGGCGAAACGTCTGGGAATTTACCACGTCCACAGCACGACTTTGGAAATTATTTAAATACAATGGACTCCGGATTAGGCGCGTTCCTCTAAGTCTTCTTACTAATATGACGCAGTTGAGAAATCAAGGTCAAACAACTTCTGGAGAATTTTGTAGGTTTGATGAACAGAATAAA